CAGAGGGCAGTGGCATCCTATGAGTGCTAGGCACTGGGGAGGGAGCCGGGAACCTTGCTCAGCAGGGATGAGTGTGGGCACAGGCCTGTGTGTGTGTGGGGGGGGGTACTGATCATGTGTGTCTGTGGTGGGAAGACCTTAACGGGTCCCCTGGGCCAGAGGAACTGCCAGCTCAGGCTGCCTGGAGCTGCAGTGTTGGCCAGGAAGACAGACATGTGGGTAACAGAGCACAGGGCAGGGTTCTAGGAAGGTGGGGTTGCCTCCCCTCACCATGGCCCTTCCCATGTCCCTGCAGGTGGGCTACAGGCCGTGGCTGAGCTCTTACAGGTGGACTTTGAGATGCACAAGATGACCCGGGACCCCCTGAACCTTGCCCTGCGTCGCTATGCCGGCATGACTCTAACCAACCTCACCTTCGGGGATGTGGCCAATAAGGTGCCCGGCTGAGGGCCTGGGGGGCCCCAGAGCCGTCCGACCCTCAACCCCGCCTCAGAATAGCCCAGTAGACTGAGGCTCCCAGGGGCAGCGGGACACGTCCCCCAGGTCCCTTTCGAGAGGCTGCTATTTCCTGGCTGTGAGACACTCTGGCCCCACCTGAGGGTGGGGGAGGAGCTGGGGCCCAGGGGTCTCCACAGGTGCCTCTTCCCCCACCGCAGAGGTTATGATCCTGTGTTCCTCCCCAGGCCACCCTGTGCGCCAACAGGGGCTGCATGGAGGCCATTGTGGCCCAGCTGGGCTCAGACAGCGAGGAGCTCCACCAGGTGCGGGCAAGGACCCTCAAGCCTGCAGTACCCATGGGGGGGGGTGGGCGGGCAGGGTGGGGTGAGGGTCGCCACCTCCTCCTGCAAGGTGAAGCCGGGGTCTCTGGCCCACGGCTCACGGGGGCAGCCAGCCCGTGCCCAGGTCTCTAGCCCCTTGGTCTCACCCCATCCACCCTGTGTTCCACCACTGCCCCTCTGCCTCATTCTGGCCACCTGCCCCGCGGCCCCAGGTGGTGTCCAGCATCCTGCGAAACCTGTCCTGGCGTGCTGACATCAACAGCAAGAAGGTGCTGAGGGAGGTTGGCAGTATGACTGCCCTGATGCAGTGTGTCCTCAGGGCCTCTAAGGTGGGTCAGGGGAGGGGGCCGGGTGTGCAGAGGGTGGATTGGGGCAGGAGCAGATGGGGCAGAGTATGTGAGGGTGGGGTGCCTCAGGGGGCAAGGTGCTTGGAGGGGCAGGGCAGGTGCATGGAGGACCTGCTTGGTGCATGGAGGGCGGGGCACAGAGGGTTGCTGGTGTGGGGAATGCAGGGGTTGGTGCTGCAGAGGGGGACAGGGTCCCGGGGACTCACTGCAAGCGTGGGAACACGGCTGCCACTACAGCTGTTTAGTTCTGTCAACAGGCAAGGACAAGCCAGCAATGGGTGGTGAGTTCTCCATCTCCAGCAGAAATCAAGCCCAACAACCCATTGCTGAGACAGTGCTGAGATGGCCGGTTCTTTACTTTCTTTTGGGCGCATGCGCCCCCTAGGAGTCCACCCTGAAGAGTGTGCTCAGCGCCCTGTGGAACCTGTCAGCACATAGTACAGAGAACAAGGCGGCCATCTGCCAGGTGCATGGTGCCCTGGGCTTCCTAGTCAGTACGCTGACCTACAAGTGTCGGAGCAACGCGCTGGCCATCATCGAGAGCGGCGGCGGGATCCTGCGCAACGTGTCTAGCCTCATCGCCACCCGCGAGGACTACAGGTTAGCGGGAGGGGCGCCAGGGGTGGGGCGTGCTTGCTGGAACTGTGGGCCGGAGGCCATGGTCACGAAGGAGACAGGTGATGGGCCGGCGCATCAGGCTGTATTCTCTTCCCGTAGACTCAAAAAGCCTGAACTCACTGCCAAGGGGTCGGTTCTGACTCCTAGTGCCCCTTTGGGGCAGGGTAGAACTACCCCTGTGGGTTTCTGAGGCTATAATTCACTGCGGGAATAGAAAACCCCATTTTTTTCCCCTCGGAGCAGCTGGTGGTTTCAAACTGCTCACCTTGAGGTTACCAGCCCAACTCGTAGCCCCTCTGCCACCGCCCTTCTCTTTATGTAAGTATGTCCCACATGTGGCATGGGAGTCACTTCTCTATTAAGTTAAGAGCTCATGGATTTAAAAACACATATTACTGAAAGATAAAACTTATTTCAGTAGACTTATTGTAAAAATTACTTTTAGTTGTATTTATTAGTGTATAATATTTGTTAAACAACAATATTAAAAGCAATATTTATTGAACCAAGCAAAGTTTATATTAACAAAAATAGAAGTTAATTAGCTAACCAGTAAAGATTGTTAAAACAAAAAATTTACTTCTTTTCAATCCTTACACAAGGGGGCTTCAAAAAAGTTCACAAACAAATTATATTTTACTTCATTTTTTCACACCTTCTTTGAAGCCCCTTGTATGTGTTTCGTGAAATAGAAGTCACTCTTGTGCTAATACAGCACTTAGTCAGCAGGAGTGCTACCAGCCCAACTCAAATCCAAACCCACTGTGACGCCCCAGGCTGCCTGAGAAGGTATGTCTTTTATTTTTAATTCTTACTTTTTAGTGTGAAGCACCTGAAGGGTTACAGAGCAGGCCACTGATTTTAAACGTAGAAAATGCATACGCATTTCATGCCAACTCACCCGTTGCTGCCCTCCATGCACACCCCTTGCCCCACTTGCTCCCACGCATGTCCTCTCCCGTCCCTTCACCTCGCCTCTGAACTTGTCAAAAGCCTAAGTGCTGTCGTTTTGGTCACAACGGGTCGCCGATTCTAACACCAAGGGGAGTTCTGGTCCGGACCTGAAGGGTGAAGACCAGCCCTTCCCAGCAGCAGCAACAGCCTCATCCTTCTCTCACTCAGCGGCTGGTGGGATTGAGCCGCCAACCTTGTAGTTCGTTGCCCAACACCTAACCCACAGTGCCACCAAGTTCCTTAAATAGTATTGCTAATAAATGGATCATATTTATTATTCAGGAAAAGAAATAAAACTTCCTTACTTTTACTACTTACAATGCTAAAATTGTTTATTAAAATAAACAAAACTATTAAAATATATATCACTTTTAAATGAGAGTATAGTGTATGCTACTTCAATTCACTTACTTTAGTACTTTCATAGGCTACACTTATATTTATTAAAATAAAATGTGCATTGCATATTAATGAGTATTTATAACACCAATTTTTATATAAAGTAAATTTACTGTTTTAGTATGTATATTATAAGCTTACTTATTTATATCAATAATATTTGTTGAGATAATGTTCATTCAACAATGCAACTCAACTCACTGCCACCGAGCCAATGCTGACTTGCAGCCACCTCACAGCATGGGACAGGGTAGACCTGCCCCTGGGGATTTCTGACACTGTAACTGTTCACAGGAGCAGCAGGCCCCTTCTTTCTCCACCGATGGTTTGGGATTGCTGACCTTGCGGTTAGTAGTCCAGTGCGTAACTGCTATGCCACAGTGCTCATTAGGCAATATTAATAAAACAGTACTTGTGAACATTAAAAAATGCCTATTCTTAGCTCTTGCTCTAAAATATTGTTTTCTAACACAATTTGTTTTTTTTAATAATTGTTTTATTAGGGGCTCATACAACTCTTATCACAATCCATACATACAGCAATTGTGTAAAGCACATTTGTAAATTCATTGCCCTCA